AAAATAAAGGTCTATCAACAACTGAAAAAAAACATTTTATAAAAGAACATGGTTCTTTTTAGTCAAAAATAAAAACCAGCCAGGCGTGATAGTACATGCCTGTAATTCCAGTAACTCAGGAGGCTGAGGTAGGAGGATTACAGGTTCAAGGGAAGCCTCAGCAACTTTGTGAGACCCTGTCTCAAAATCAGAAATAAAAAGGGCTGGGATATAGATCAATGACAAAGTGCCCCTGGATTCAGTCTCTATATCAAAAAAAGAAAAAAAAAAGGAAGGAAGGAAGGAAGGAAAAGAAAAGAAAAAAGAAAGGTTCGGGTGTGGTGGTCATGTCTCAGCTACCTGGGACCCAGCTGAGACTGGAGGATCTTTTGAGCCACAAGTTTGGGGCCAGCCTGGGCTACCTAGTGAGACTCTGTCTCCAAAAATAATAAAAAACAAGTGGAAACAAGTTCTATTAATCAAGGTTCAATTGAAGAAGCAGGATTACTAGAAAAAATACATTTACATATTTATATTACATATACTAATATAATTTTTAGATTAATTAATTACATGTATCATGCAATGGTGTCATCATATAATATAAGTGAAAGATTGCCAGTATTCTGCACTTGGGAGAGCTGTCAAACAGCCTCTGGAAGGCTGCTTGCTTTTCTATTGAATGCCTGAGCTTGACCCTTGCAGAGCAGGAGGGGGCGATGGATGTAAAGTTGGGGAGAGTGAGGAGAACCAGCGGATGAGGACAAGCTAGCAGGGGTGTCCGTGTCTGTCTGTCTCCACCTCTGATGATGAGGGGGTGCTCTGGGAAAAAGCTGGTGTCCTTGATCACAGAGAGAAGCATATCCAGGAATTAGGGAACTGCAGGGGGATCCCACAACCAAAGAGGTGAGCCAACAGGTGTATGTCCACCTGAATTGACCTCCCAAGAATAAAACACTACAACTGCTGCCTCATGCCACCCCCCACATCTCAGGCAACATGCCTGGTGGCCCACCCTAACTGGATCCCTATAGCCTAAGCAGTTGACCTATAACAATGCCACCACCCCAGCAATGCCAAGATTTGATAAAGTGAAACTGTAGGTATTTATGTTGTTCTGTCTTCTTATCCATATGTTTGAAATACTCCATGACTTAAAAACAATGTAAAATGTAAATCCATTTACATTCATTGTAAAAACCCTGAGGAAGCAATGTCAAAATCTATCCCACCACCACCGAGAGAGAGAGAGAGAGAGAGAGAGAGAGAGAGAGAGAGAGAGAGAGAGAGAGAGAGAGAGAGAAGAGGGAGAGAAACATTATGTAAATGTATAGTCTTTCCAGTGAATCAATTAACAGGCCAGGTGGAAACTATCCTGGTGCGTCCAATTTCATCTGTCTTCTTAAGTGTTTGCAAAGTAATACCATACCTTAACACTATCGGAAGACATACAAGATAGGTTTTTGCTTGAAATTGGATGCTTGAGTACTCATTGCATAAAAGGAAACTGTACTTTTTTACATAGAATTAACTACACACCTTGTAAATCTGAATAAATGGACATGTATTTTCCATCCTGGCTACCCCTCACCTTTTATTTATGTTTATTTTTTAAATTTTTTTGGTGTGTATGTTTGCTGGAAAGAGCTACTGTGAAAGCCTATATGTATATATTTAAATCTTATTAATAATTCATAATGTGCATGTACTGAAGAAAACCACCAGATAGCATTTGATGTAATGTAATCATTCTCAGTCTCAACAATTGAGAACATTCACAAAGCTGGCTTTGAGATTGCATTCCATTTAATTGTGAACTAGTGTACCAAGCACCAATCCAAAATTGTGGTTATATAAAAACAGCCTAAATTAAAGCCTCAGTTGCAGCCCTAATTTATAAACAATTAGGAAAAATAACAGGATACCTAGGGGTTTTTTTTTGTAGTTGTATACAATAACTTTTATTTACTTTTATGTGGTGCCGAAGATCAAACCCAGGGCCTTGCATACACGAGGCAAGCGCTCTACCACTGAGCCATAACCCCAGCCCCCAGGGTACCTAGGTTTTTGTTGTTTATTTGTTATTTTAGCTTTGTAAACTATGTCGCAGCTTAGATCTTCATTTTAAAATTAAAATATGTTATTCCAGTGCTGAGAACCTGCCTTCCTGAGGTAGGTCGGTGGTCACCTGTAACTTAGGTAAAAATAGAGAAGGCAAGCATAGATATAAAGCTCTTCAAGCGCCTTGTTCAACTTTTGGGGGGATTGTTAGATTTTCTTTATAATTCTCCCCATTTTGATTTGACTCTGGGTATGTTATAAAGTTTTTCCTCAGCATATAAAATATGCATGAGTCAAAAATGGGTAGAGATTTCAGTAACAGAACATTATGCAGGGTTTTTATTAGTTGGAGTGTGGGGCACATCTTTGCATAAAGGTTTTTTTAAAATATTTATTTTTTTAGTTAGAGGTGGACACTATATCTTTATTTTATATTTATGTGGTGCTGAGGATCAAACCCAGTGCCTCACACATGCTGGGCGAGCACTCTACCTCTGAGCCACAACCACAACCCCATGAAAGTTTTTTTTTTTTAAATGAGAATTTACTGTGACTTTGGTTAGTGACAACAATTCTATGCCTGTGTTCATCTTTTCTCTAGTTAATGTGCTCCACTGTGTGTGTGTGTGTGTGTGTGTGTGTGTGTGTTTTGCTGGGATTGAACCCAGGGATCTGTTCATGTTGGGCAAGTGCTCTACCACTGAACTATCTAGTCTATCTTCCACATTGTTAAAAGGTTTCAACCTTATCTCATTGTTCACTAGTCCTCTTAGTTGGAGATAACCACGGTTAATATTTTACTATATATTTCTTTCTTTTTTTTTTCCTTTGAGATACACGTTGAATGGGACCCCTTTTAAAATGAGAGTTGTTTTGCAAAAAATTCAAATCATGACTAAACTCAAGAGAATTTTAGAAAAACATTTGTATTTTGAAATGGTAGTTTCCATCAAAGATTGGGATAAAAGCTAATGTTTTTAACAAATTTAAACTTAGAAAAAAAACAACAAGTCAAAAAGTGTTAATTAACAAATATGTTTGATGCCCAAAAAGCTGTTATCTGCCTTCAAGAGTAGAACAAACCCCTAAAATCAAACCCCAAATCCAAACAACATAATTAAAACTTGGTAAGAGTAAAGACAAGATTATTGTTTCATTGAAGCATACCTCCTGGCACTTTGGGAGGGGGGGGCGTTAAACACAGAGGAGGCTTCTTTTGATTGCTAATTCTAATCATTAATTCTAAATGATTACCTATTGACACAGACAATGAGATTAAGGTCCTAAGATGACGTTGGAAGAATGAAAATGTAGTATATTTGAAGGGAACACAAATCATTGAAATCGTATTTTTGAAACAGAATGAACAAAATTCATGAATAACTGACCATAACTGACCAATTAAAAGTTTGTGAGTATTTATCTCTTTAAATACATCTGAGCTTTTCTCTTTGTATACATCTAAGCTTTTCCCCCAAGATAGAACATCAACGGTCAGATCTATGACACAGGGTGTCCCCCTGGGCACTCTGTCCTACAGCGCCCCTCCAGTCATTTTTCCTAGTCGGGGGATTTCCTGATTGACAGGGAAAATAATAGTGACATTACTCCCTTAATCTAGATTAGGTGAAACTATCTTTGTATGGCCATTGCAATGAAAAATATTGATCCCTGTCCTTCTAAAGTCATTTGGAGACCTAGTGATATCCCAAACTTTGAGAAACTGACCAGACATGATCTTTCAAACAACACAGCTTCAAAACTCACTAAGCTATTTTGTGTGTAGGAGGTGATCTGGAAAAGTCCCAGCATGTGGTGAGCCTGGGAGTTGTATTAAAAATGTGCTTTTAAACAAGCTCCTGGGAAAATACCTCAATGACACCCAGGAGTCCCCCGCTCTCAGGATCAGCCAGAGAACAGCTTTGTGTGCCAGTTGGAAGACAGACAGATGAGAATTTCCTGGCCCGAGACCGCCCAATCTCCATGACAGCCCTGTAACAGGACCCTTGAGACTGGCCTCGAATGGGGAAGGCCATTCTAGGTGTAATCGGCTCAGGTGGTGTCACCTAAGAGCCAGGAAAATGGTGGCCAAGAAGGAGAAGGGGGAGGTGAGGGCAGGTGAGTATCTCTGAGAGCTCATTTTTATTTCTTTTCTTGCTCTATTGGGATGGAACTCAGGGCCTCAGGCATCCTGGTTAAGTGTTCTACCACTGAGCTGTATCCCCAGCCCAAGAGTTCACTCTTTTTTTTCCTAAGAAAAAAAAATTAAGCTTGAAAATGAGTCTGTTTGGGTTATACGAGGATAGCAAGTCTCCATAGCTTTATGGAGACTCCATAGCGAGTCTCCATACCTTGATCTGTCTCATCCTGTTTGCTTTTACTTAAATCTTCCCTAGAGCAATGTAACACCCAGTATCAGAAAACATATCAGTAAGAATGATTTTGTGCTGGCTGAAACCTCTTCATATTAATTTCAGAATCAGATGAATATCAGAGCAAAATCCTTGCACAACCACACCATTTATTTTTTTAAACCTGATTTTCCTGTTTCCTCCTACCCAATGCCAGTATGGCTTGCTCAGCATCTGATGGCACCCAAGATCTTTGGACAAGCCCTTGGTCCCCACTTGCTTTGGTATCTTCACCTTGCTGAGAAAAAAACACACCCACATGTCAGCCATTGATGAAGAACTGTCTTTATTGGGTGATTTTAAAGGCATTGCCTGCAGGGAGTCCTTACAGAAATCGTGGGACAGACTCACCACTAAAAAACTATGGACTGACTTATTTCCTCACTCAAACAATAAGCAAATTGCAGCAGCGTTTCAAGGGGACTTGATAAATGAGTTCAGGGTAGGATGTGGGGCTTCCCATTCCGAGAGCTTTGCAGGTTTTCCAACTGAGTGTTCCTTCTTCTTCTTTCTTTTTTTTTTTTTTTTCTCCTCCATAGACTGGGGCCTTTAAGAATGCACCATCTCTTGGAATTCTAGAACATAAGAGGTGACAGGTCAGTGGAGACGGCTCAGGACTCTCCAGATGCACTATCACTGTGATAGATCCAAGAGGGAACACTGAAGCCGATACTCAGGTGGTAAGCATGATCCCCTTGGAGGGAAGAGAACAGTGGGCATCAACAACCACAGCTCCAGGGTGTCTACAGCCTCCCACCCCTCTGTGTAATCTCGTTCAACAAACATCTTCAGCTTGGCAACAGCTGAACTCAGTGCAGTTCTCAGTAGAACTCACCAACTCCATATTTTCCCTCCAACAAGGAAGGCATTCAATATCATCATCTATTGCAATCTGCAAACATTTAGCTCTGTGTTGGGTCAATTTAAGACAAAAAATGGGAGATTGTTCTCCCCTTTTTCTGTAGCAGTATATTGCATTTTTAGGTAACATTCAACATGAGCTAACTTCATCCCTCAGAGTTTATATTACTACAAGAAAGATGATGAGAATAATAAGATGTGGATGCTGCAGATTGAAATTGAAATCTGGGAGAGTTATTTTGGTAAATTTTGTCTGGAAATCTTTCTTGCTCATGTGTAAATAAATCAGCCTCCCAGGTCTGAGCTAAATTTCTGAGTTGTCTACAGCAGCATTAACTCCTGAATAGTAATCTATAGTGATATCGTTTTATACAGATTTAAAAAATAAGAATATAGCTGGGTGTGGTGGCACACACCTGTAATCCCAGTGGGTCAGAAGGCTGAGACAGGAGGATCACGCGTTCAAAGCCGGCCTCAGAAATTTAGCAAGGCCCTAAGCAATTCAGAAAGACTCTGTCTTTAAATAAAATACTTATTTTTTTTTTAAAGGAAAGGAAGTTGAGACCATAGAAAGAATTTTTTTTAAAGAGAGAGAGAGAGAGAGAGAGAGAGAGAGAGAGAGAGAGAGAGAGAGAGAATTTAATATTTATTTTTAGTTTTAGGCAGACACAACATCTTTGTTTGTATGTGGTGCTGAGGATTGAACCCGGGTTGCACGCATGCCAGGCAAGCGCGCTACGGCTTGAGCCACATCCCCAGCCTCAAATAAAATACATATTTTTTAATGGCAATATGTAAATCAATGGAAATGTAATTGATGTAACTGATGTGATTCAGCAATCTGTATACGGGGTAAAAATGGGAGTTCATAACCCTTTTGAATCAAACTGTGAAATATGATATATCAAGAAAGATGTAATGTTTTGAACGACCAACAATAAAAAAATAAATTAAAAAAAAGAAAAAAAAATACATATTTTTTTAAAAAGGGAGGGGGGGCTGGGGATGTAGATCAGTGGCTAAATGCTCCTGACACCAAAAAATAACAATAAAAATAAGAATTTAAGGGCTGAGGATGTAGCTCAGCGGCAGAGCGTTTACCTAGCATGTGCCAAGCCCTGAGTTCAATCCCCAGAAAAGGGAAAAAATATGGATCTAAGGTAGCAAATTTAAATTTCAAATTAGTGTCACTATTAGTAGGACCTCTATAGGCTCTCCTGACTTGTCAGGCACAAAGTCCCTAAAAATCATAATCTTCAGCCATATGACTATGATGACATTTGAATCTAGGGAGCTGCACGTAGAAAGCTCCATAATTGGTGGCTGACTTATTTGCCCTCTGTTTAATATTGTGCACTTGGGGTTCTAATGTCCACTAAAATGTCTTTGTTTAAACCCTTGAAAGCTTAGAGGATTTTCAGTGCAAGCCAGTAGACTCTTTGATATGACACAATCCTGAGAATGCCCATCCTTCCTTTATCCAGAGGGGCTCATATCCTTGCATGATTTTTGAAGTGCATTAGTGCATGCTGAAAATAACTGGCCAGGCAGCTCACTAGTCCCCTACTGGGGTAAAGGAATTTTTTTTCTTTTCTTTGGCAGTGCTGGGATGGAATTTGGGGCCTCATGTGCACCGGACAGGCACTGATCCACAGAGTCACCTCTCCATCCTCAGCCCCAAGGATATTTTCTTTCTTTCATTTTTTTGTATTTGTTTTTGTTTTGCCGTACTGGGGATTGAGCCGAGGGGCACCCTACCACTAAGCTACAACCCAGTGTTTTATTTGTTTGTTTGTTTTCATTTTTTAAAGGCAAGATCTCACTAAATTGCCCAGGCTGGCCTCAAACTTGTGATCCTCTTGCTGCAGCCTCCCGAGTAGCTGGGATTACAGGTGTGCACCACCATTCCCAACCAATTTTTTTTCCTCCTAATTCATCGATAATAATCAGAGGGATCAGCTTCTATGATACATCCTGGGCTTTAAGCCAGAATGTGTGTGTGTGTGTGTGTGTGTGTGTGTGTGTGTGTGTGTGT